AAGTTTGCGGCCAAAAAGGTGACGCTCCAAACTATTTTATATTGGACCTTTAAGTGTCTTGCCCAAGGACACAGCATCAGTTTGACACCAGGTGACAGTCACGAGGTTTGCAGCGTCTCTTGCGTTGTGAGCGTTTCTATTGTCTGCTTCTTACGTACGTGTTCCACTGAAGTTAGCCGATCCTTTATGCTGTTGACTATAATGACATTTCTATTATTCCGAGCGCGTTGCCTCTCGAAAAGTGCCGCTTCAAAGACGGTCGCAACAAAAGAGGAAATGGGCTTCACGCCAGCTCGCTACAAAAAAAGATAAGAAAGAAATCTGTAATTCTCATAATTTGCCAGTTGTATTTTTTTTTTTGGCCTTCTTTTAGCGTTTCTGGGAGTCAATCCTAATGCACTGAACCCACAATTTTCGCGCTTAACCATGGAATGTATTTCAGAAAAGAATCAAAAATAGATACGTTATATTTAAAGGGCCCATCTCATGCAAAGTAACTCTTTTCACATGATATCTTCTGTACATATACAAGCACAATTTGGGTTTTGGAACATCCATTACACAATAGATTTCTTGGAGACAGTCACAGACCAGGGGCTATGAAAGACCGGCCATTGCTCATCCCCCTGCCCGTCCTGAGAAAGCACAGGCTCCGCCCTCCAAACCTGACGTAGGCTCGAGACAAAAAGCATAATTGGGCAAACTTGAGTCTCTAATAATGTTCAATCAAATGAGGTCATCATAATCTGTACAGACAATCACTAAACACCAGTGGTTGTAATGACTGAGGTGTAATCGCCATTTTGTTATCGTGCAGAAGCATGAATATATACCTAAAAAATAGAAATAAGTTCAAATATTTGTGCAGAGAAACGCAAATCTATTACAGAAATCTTTTTTAATTGATGAACTCTTTCTTTTACAAAATATTATAATATTATGAACAACCTGAATCTTTAAGAAAAATGCAATTTCAACACAAAGTTTTAACATGAACTTGTATACAAACTGGAATAAGTCAATTTTTCTTGGAAAATCCTGCACTCGGCTCCACTTTTCTCATTTTTGACATTTTTCTGATGAGGGTGTCACGGTCAACAGTCAAAACGATCGTCCTTTAAGAGTGTCTGGAAAGAGCCAAGTTTTCATTTGTGCTGCTCTGGTGGGAGGGGCCATGTACAGAGACGCTGGAGACGCTGCGATGCTAAACACCGCAGAAAATTACCAATATTATAATAGAAAATATAATTAAAATATTTTAGTAGAAAATCAGTCGAGGGTCAGATTAAAGGTCTTGGAGGGCCGGATCCAGCGCCCGGGCCGCATGTTTGACACTCCTGCACTAGAATAAAATGAATAAATGAATGTTTATTCGGACAATAACACATAGAACATAAATAAAAATTGTAAATACATAGATATAACACAAAAACAAAATATTTCTAATCTATAGTAACAGGCAGAAATAAATGTTATGCTGAATTTTCCTTGTGTCTGAAAAAGGAGTGGAATGATGCCCTAAGTATGTTGTTAGTATCAATGTAACATCGTGGGACTACGTAACGTTTGTCAAACTAGAACAGGTAGAACAAGGGAGATGACATGTATATTGAAATTATATGTCGAATAATCTTCAGAAATAAACGCTGTAGTTTGCTTTTAGTTCTCTTCTTACTAGCGGTAAATTTACAGATCTAGGATCGCCATCACTGGACCCTGGTATTGTGGGAACAGCATCCTTTTCCAAAGTGTCGCTTCTGTTTCATTGTAAGTCCAGTTTTAAAATACCCGTAATTCTCGAATCAGTCTTTGGTGAAGTGTTGCTCGCAAACAAAAATATTTTTGGGGACCTTTTTGTCTATGTTCCCAGAAATAAACTCCAGCCTCTTAATAAATTTCTTCTGTCTGCATGTCAAATAATTTCGACTTGCCATTGCAGCCAAATACGCACTTTCTCTATGAGGACATGGTTACAAAAAGCGTGTTTGAAGTGATAAATCACGCAGAAGAGCAGATCTGTACGTTGCAGACACAGGACGGTGTGTGAATGGAGGCGGTGGAGCGAGGCGGAGGCGTGGCGAAGCGCTTTCTGCTACGTCAAACGCGTCATAGGTGTATCTGCCGCGTCATCGTTGTAGCAGCTTTAGTTCGTCGTCACGTGGGAGGGTGGCAGAAATACGCTGCAATTTGTAAAAAAAAAAAAATCTAAAAACCACTTCAGCGACACATACAAGGCCCACACATCTCTCTTAGAAGGTAGAAAGCTCTGAAAAGTTGATTTTGCAAGAGATGGGCCCTTTAACCACAGAGTGTATTTCAGAAAAGAATCAAAAATAGATACGTTATATTTAAACCGCGTAACGGATAATGGAAACGAAATTGCACTTAAACTAATTGCAAGCTGCCTCGCCACTTATGAAATATTTTGATAAATGGTCGTCGCTCGCTATTATTTACATATATTAAGCCCGTGTGGTCATTTGTGTTTATTACGGTTCATTTTCTCGACACATAATAAGATTTAAGCCAGGCTAATTAGCGAGGAAGCTAACACATCAATATAGCGTTAATTGAAGTTGAAGACCTCGGTAACCAGTACAAATGTTGATAAATGACCGTAGCTCGAGTTATTTCATACATGATAGTGATAGAATGGTTAATAATTGGATTGGCTAATTAGCAAACTAGTTAACAAACTAGCAGAATAATTGGCGACACGTTGGGGCAGTTAGAATTAGCCGCTAACATGTAAAAAAAAAAAAAAAAACATATATAAAAATGTACATGGGGTGGTGATATCATAACATATATTATTTTATTGTTACTAGGGATGTAACGATATCCAAATCTCTCAGTACAATATTTATTGCAATATTTTGGTGATTTAGTCCTGGTTTAGTCCTAGTTTAGTCCTGGGTTTAGTCCTGGTTTAGTCCTGGTTTTAGTCCTGGTTTAGTCTTGGTTTAGTCCTGGTTTTAGTCCTGGTTTAGTCTTAGTTTAGTCCTGGTTTAGTCTTGGTTTAGTCCTGGTTTTAGTCCTGGTTTAGTCCTGGTTTAGTCTTTGTTTAGTCCTGGTTTTAGTCCTGGTTTAGTCTTAGTTTAGTCCTGGGTTTAGTCCTGGTTTAGTCTTGGTTTTAGTTGTGATTTTAGTCCTGGTTTAGACCTGGTTTAATCCTGCTTTTAGTCCTGATTTAGTTTTGGTTTAGTCCTGGTTTAGACCTGATTTTAATCCTAGTTTTAGTTTTGGTTTAGTCCAGGTTTAGTCCGGGTTTAGTCCTGCTTTTAATCCTGGTTTAGTTCTGGTTTAGTTTTGGTTTAGTCCTGGTTTTAGTTTTGGTTTAGTCCTGGTTTAGTCCTGCTTTTAATCCTGGTTTAATCCTGGTTTAGTCCTAGTTTAGTACTGGTTTAGTCCTGGTTTTAGTTTAGTCCTGGTTTTAATTCTTATTTAGTCCTGATTTTAGTTCTGGTTTAGTCAAGTCAATTTTATCAAGGGGAAAGACGTTATTGTCCTTCTTCCTATGGGATTTGGAGCATTGCATACGTCACGACCAAATAGCAGCGATTGGTTAAATAAAAAAGTATCTACCTACTGTCGAGCGAATGAATTCTAATGCTGCGAGGTCAGACAGTTTCCCCGAAGTGAAACCAACTCATGACTCAGGCTACTGAAAATCCACAACAAAATATATATATAATTTTTGGAGTGTCAGTTTAGCCAGTCTCTATTTGCGGTTTATACTACTACAGTTGCAAACCCAGATACCTGATCAAATGGATATCTTTCAAGTAATGTCATGAAGCTAACTGAAGACACTGCTCAGTCTGAAACTATGTTTCTCATGTTAGGCTTGAATTTAAGCTTTGTTTTAACACAATCTGACCAAAGAACTGCCTTAACTGGAACTATAACAGGTGAACCTTTTTGTGCTGTTTAACACCTAAACAGGACCAGCTTGTATTAGTCAAAGGCCATTCCCCACTAGTACGTATTCAAGTCCTTTTCATTGTGGATGCATTGTTCATCCACAATAATCCGATGGAAAACAGCTCCAGAAATGGAATGATTTGGTGCTGCCAGCTCCCACGAATTCATTTGAGTACAGATCTGATCCGGCACTGTGTGGACGCCTGAAAATGCTAATACGCTGACGTAGGAGCTCTAGTTGCGTCCTTTTTGGACCACATCACTATCATGTAACACTATTGTGGAAAATAGTTTAAACAAACCAGAGACAAACAGGAAACAGCGTGGCTAGAACGACTTACTACTTTCACGCTTGCCATCTTCCTCAGCTCGAATTCGGCTGCTGCAACTTCAGACACGGTGCTCTACTCCCTCGTTTTTATCGCCCATGCGACGTTGTGACGACGTGACGCCAGCCTATCCAATCCAATATTTCTATAGCACATTTCACAAACAAACATTTTCCAAAGTGCTGCACAAATACATAATAATAACAACAATAATAAGATGATAAACTACTAAAATAATACTAGTCTCAAAATAATAAAACCAGTAAAATAAAATAAAACCAGTAAAATTAAATAAAACCAGTAAAATTAAATAAAAACAAAATCATAGAATAGAAATAAATAAACAAATAAAACCAATAAAAACACATAAAAATAAATAAAAAAACACAGAGGACCACACAACTCACGCAGTGTTAAAAACCAGAGAATAAAAGTGGGCCTAGTCATGTGACCAGCATTTCAACCGGTTTTGCCAACACACAAATAACGTGTCTGGACACAAATCATTTCCAATATGGCGATATGGTGGGGTTTTTTTTCAGTGTAAACGTAACCTCAGACGATCTAAAAGCTTCTGGTAGTTTCCTAATGTGTGAGGTCATTGCAAAGTATCAGTAGGGTTGATATGACTGCCTGCTACGGGAAGGGCATCAGATGTAAATGCACCATCTGATACCATCCCAATTCACATACCTATGATCATAGACTAACTGCTTTTTCTTCATTTCTTACTTTTGTCTCTTCCAGGTTTGTCGAGTGGCTTACGAAATCATGCAGACCCTCCACCCGGACGCCTCCTCCTTCTTCTACTCCTTGGACGACATTTACTACTTCGGGGGTCAGAACGCCCACAACCAGATCGCCGTGTACCCGCACCAGGCCCGCAACAACGAGGACATACCCCTGGAACCCGGAGACGTCATCGGAGTCGCCGGCAACCACTGGGACGGCTACTCGAAAGGCATCAACCGCAAGCTGGGACGTACCGGTCTTTACCCCTCCTACAAGGTGAAGGAGAAGATCGAGACGGTGAAATACCCCACCTACCCCGAAGCGGACAAACTGCTCAATTCCCAAAATAATTAACAAAAAATATTCCAAGCAAGTGAAGGATTAATATTTAAATTGAAGGAGCTTTTTTTGTACAGACTTTACCTAAGCTGAAAAATCCAGGGGTGACCAATGACAGAAAATGCATTGTGTTTTTATGTATGACGCAATTGTGTTAATGCCTACGTTAGGTCATGGAAGACTTGCACCTAAATCTACTATTAATACAACCTCCCCTCACCTACCAATGGCCTACAAAAACACTAGAGACGTAGAGGCATTTTAAATACAAAGACGACTGACCTAGTTCGCAAAGAGTTGTGGGGCAATGGGACACCCCTGCCTTGTACCTGCAAGCATTGACTGAACAAAAAACTGGAAGAAAAAAGTGTTGAGATTTTTATTTAAATTCTTTTCAAGTGATTTTAACCTTTGCCTTTTGCTCCGTTCCTGCTGTTTTATTTTTTTTTGTTTTTTGTTTCTTATTTGATTGAATGTACTGTAATTTCTCTATTGCCATGCTCACCGAGGCCCTTTTTGACCCCCTTTCCTACTCACTGTACACTGCCCCTCCCCCGCTCCTCATCTCTACATGTGCAATTAATTTTATGGAAACCATATTGTGCTTTTTTAAGTGTTTTTAAATGGTCTTAATGAATTCATTTCGGTGCGACTGTGGCTTGTGCATTGTGTACTGTACATTGGATGCGTGAGAGACTCCGGAAAGAAAAGCGCGGATGAACAAAGCTTTTAAAACGTCAATGGGGCCATGTCACGATGGTGCCTATTATTGATTAAAAAAAAAAAGTGTGTTTTTATATTATTTTTGCCTCTATTTCAACTTCACTCCAGACTGAATAATGTTAAGTGGCACTGAATTGAAATGCCAGTCACTCCAATGAAAAAAGAACAATGATGCGATTATGGCTAACTCCCAAATGCACGTGGCTCACCAATTTCAAAGCACTCCACTTACAAAAAACATCCCTCAAAACCCCTTCACTGTCTGTCAAAATGTTGTCTTTTACCTTTTTTACTTTTGCTGGTTTAAATTTAAGAGAAAATAATGTTACAACACCATTTCAAATCCTCCCAAAATCATGAAGGCTTTTTTTATGTTCACGGGCATTGTCTTTGATAATCACCAATCAAAATAAACTTGAGAAACCAACACAGTATTTTTGTTCTTCTGTGTTTTCATATAAAACTTTGTTTATTGGTTTTATGTATCTTATTTGAACATGTTACAGATACTATGGGACACCTTTACAGCCCTGTTATGATGCAGTATTTAGAGTACATATGACTAGGGATGGGACAATAAATAATAATATGGTTTATCTTGATAAAGGGCAGACAATAATCACTTGTGATACATTTTATATAATCTTGATAATCAGCAACAGAGATTATCGCCATAGTTTGACCACAAAAGTTAATTATCCTTAATGTTATCTTCTAGATCAGGGGTGGGCAAACTATTTAACTCGTGGGCCGCAAAGGGTTCTTTAAAATATAACAGAAGGGCCGGGTTAGAAAACAACACATATTATTATTATCAGTATTATTATTGTTCAAGGTTGGCAGGTCGATTTAAAAAGTTTATTTAAAGGGTCACATATGGCCCCCGTAGTTTGGGCCATAGTTTGCCCACCCCTGTTCTAGATCATCGTTGTTTTCACTGATAACAACGTACAATACTGTAAGAGTGGAATTCATGATATTCAACTGAAAATGTATAATATCTAATTTTTACACTGTTAGGCAAGGCAAGTTTATTTGTATAGCACAATTCGTACTCAAAGTAATTCAAAGTGCTTTACAGAATAAGAAATACATTAAAATCATAATAAAAACAAATCAAAACATAAATAATCATGAAGATTAAAATTAAAAAAGAGAGACATAAATTGGAGAGAAGAGTGCGGAATGAAAACCTTTCAGTTATTTGCACAGTTAAACAGAAATGTTTTGAGCCTGGATTTAAAACAGCGTCACAGAAGAGTCTGTCTCACATGTTCAGACTGTTCCAGGTTTTAGCTGCATGAACCTGAAACTCTGACTCCCCTTGTTTAGTCGTGACTCTGGGCACCAGCAGGAGGCCGGTCCCTGAGCTCCTCAGAGTGTGAGATGGTTCATATGACACTAACATGTCACAGATGGACTTTGGTGCTCGGCCATGGAGAGACTTGTACAAGCAGAGCTGCTTTAAAGTTTATTCTCTGAGGCACAGGAGCCAGTGCAGAGACCTGAGCACAGGACTTATGTGCTCGTACTTCCTAGTTCGAGTAAGGACCCGAGCTGCAGCGTTCTGGATGTTCTGCAGCTTCTCACAGCTCGTTTGGAGAGACCAGTGAGCAGAACATTACAGTATCTAACCTACTGGAGACAAACGCATGGATAAGTTTCTCCAAGTCTGATTTAGACAGTAAACCTTTGATTTTTGCTATGTTTTTTAGATGGTAAAAGGCTGCAGATGTTATTGATTTGATGTGGCTGTTAAAGTTCAAGTCTGAGTCCATTATTACCCCCAGATTTCTTGCCTGATTTGAAGGTTTTAGAGAGAGAGACTGGAGGTGACTGCTGACACTGTCCCTTTGTTTCTGTGGACCAACACTATGACTTCTTGTCTTGTTTTGCATCCACACACTGATCTGTTGGATGCAGTGACCATCCAAGTCCAGTCCACTGGTCCATAGTCTCCTGCTGCCAGAGAGACGTAGATCTGAGCGTCATCTGCATAACTGTGGTAGGACACGTTATTGCTGCTTATTAACTGTTAGTCATTTTAATAATTATTGTGATGTTATTGTTAGTCACCATCACATTTTGGCCATGATAATCACGACACAAAATTTCATTCATATGACAGGTTTTCATGTTTTTCTAATTATGACTTGGTTTGGTGGTACAGTATCTGTGGTCAGTGTTTGTCACAGTTTTACATCAGTCAAGTCTGAAAAAGCTGAAAACAAAATTGCAAAAATACAATACTACAGGCATGTAAGCATAACAGAGTTCTGAAACACCAAAATTTCCATCCAAAATGCATTGATTTAGCGATGTAATAATTCTACAGCTAATGAACAATATTTCTGTAATAGCAGGAAAGATGATCTCACAACATTCTCAGTAATTTTGCTTACAGATTAGAGCAGGTCAAATGCACATTTTTGTTATAATACTAAACATTTCTGCGTTTACCTTTTTGTTCACTGTCTAGGACCACACCAACAACGACATAGTGCGAAGAAGTTTATTGATAATGTATGAAGCGGGGCGGAGATGGCTGGGTTGAGACTCTAGGTGGGACTCCGTCTCAATCTTCAATTGGCCCAGCTGGAACGGAACCCCCCTCGTAGACGTTTTATGACTGAAAAATGAAAAAGATAGGAGGTGGGAGGGTGGGGTGGAGTTAGCCGAGACAAACTGGGATGATGGGAAAGGCTGCTGCAAATAGGCTTTTGGGAAATTAGAGGCGTGGTCGAGGTGAGTTGTGGTTCACTGGTGAGAGGAGAGGGCGGTTGAGGCGTGGTCCTGTTCCTGAATCTCAGTTAATCATATTAACTACATTTATTTCATTGTTAAGTACAACGTAATCAATAGGAAAAACTGATATCTGATATTAGACTGACATCATCACATTCTCGAATCTGAAAACAATAAGTGAGTTTCACGAGTAATAAAATCACAGAATAATGCACAAAATCTGGTATTTCAAATAATAAACCATGACGAGAGAACTGAGTTATAGCTGAAGGAGAGGTACAAAAACACAATTGTTCTGATAATTTATATTGACAGCATAACTTTTGTTGTTAAAAGTAAAAGATGATGAAAGGAAATGATGATGGTGAAAATAATTTAAGTATAAGGACTAAAAATTGGCCAAAAAATATCAATGCAAGGAGGCCTAGCGGTGGGTTTATGCTGCACAACCACCTTAATTTTGTTTTATTTAACCAACATTTGAGTCCTGTGATGGAAATTTATAGCCAGGCTAGCGCCACCTAGTGCCTGCGCTCAATTTCATTTCTCTCCAGCAACTAGGTCAGGAATCAGAATACAATACACGGTTCGCAAAAACCCCGGAAGTGCAAGTTCGGGTACCTGCCAATCAGCGAAGAGACATACATTCTGTGTTGTTAACGATTCCCGAGATCGAGGATTTAAAGCCGGAATAAAGAGAATATTTGGTGAATTTTATCAAGGGGAAAGACGTTATTGCCCTTCTTCCTACGGGATTTGGGAAAAGTTTAGTATACCTGTTAGCCCTGTTACAAAATAGCAGCGATTGGTTAAATGATAAAAAGTACCTGCCTACCGTCGAGCAAATGAATTCTAACACTGCGAGGTCAGACGGTTTCTACGAAGTGAAACCAGCTGTTGAATCAGGCTAAATTTTTGTGGCCTTACTGGGGAAAATTGAAAAACCTCTAGGCAAAGTGTAAGAGACCATATATTATTCAAATACTTAGACTATAAAGAAGTAGACTAAGGGAGTGTGGCATTACCCATAGCGTTTGGTTCTAGTTAAATGAAACTCATGATGCTAGCAGTTAAAGGGGCGAATTTGAAGCCGAGTTCTATATTGAGAATAGGAATTGATTTATGACGGAAGCCAAGAGGGGTCACAACAAACGCAAACGCCGCAACAAATACAAATGCCACAACACAAACAAAAAGCCACAACAAACCAAAAAAAGCCACAACGGAAATGACCGCGGGACTCTATTTTAATGCAAATGCCACAACACATTAAAAAGCCACAACAGAAGTGACCGCTGGACTCTATTTTCCAACGGACTGATCAAGCAGCAAGTGAAGAAGAAGAACTACAACGTGAAAAGTAAAGGAACGGAGAAGTTGGAAATGTAAGTAAAAGTAATTTATTGTTTTATCGTTATTCATTTCACGTTGTAGTTCTTCTTCTTCACTTGCCGCTTGATCGGTCCGTCGGAAAATAGAGTCCCGCGGTCACTTCCGTTGTGACTTTTTGATGTGTTGTGGCTTTTTAATGTGTTGTGGCATTTGCGTTTGTGTTGTGGCTTTTTAATGTGTTGTGGCTTTTTAATGTGTTGTGGCATTTGCGTTTGTGTTGTGGCGTTTGTATTTGTTGCGACGTTTGCATCAAAATAGAGTCCTCCGGATATTTCCGTTGTGGCTTTTTTTGGTTTGTTGTAGCTTTTTGTTGTGTTGTCGCATTTGTATTTGTTGCGCCATGAAACAAATAATGATAAAACAATAAATTACTTTTACTTACGTTTCCAACTTCTCCGTTCCTTTTTCTTTTCACGTTGTAGTTCTTCTTCTTCACTTGCCGCTTGATCGGTCCGTCTGAAAATAGAGTCCCGTGGTCACTTCCATTGTAGCTTTTTAATGTGTTGCGGCATTTGCGTTTGTGTTGTGGCGTTTGTATTTGTCACGCCGTTTGCGTTTGTTTTGACCCCTCTCGGCTTCCGTAGATTTATGGACAAAACAGCAAAATAAAATCACCAATATCATCACGTAGAGCGGGTTAATACGAACATTTTAAGACCAAAATGAGGAGACCGACAGCAGCAGTTCCAGAGAGAAAGGTGACATTTTTTCAATACAAAGTGAATTGGAGCCAGAGTCGATGGAGCCGAAGCTCATCCGTGCTCACTTTTTTTTTTTTTAAACGTGGCAACTCACAGGTCAGCTCTGTCTCTGTACAGTCTATGCTCAAGTAGTGAGAAAAGTATGGTGCGATTTTTGTTAAGTATAGCCTAAGAAACCTGAAGTACAATTATTTTTAAAAGTTATTGAAGTAAAAGTGCTTGAATAAATATAAGTAAGTACTACCCACTTAGTCGAAAGGCCATATTAAGGTTACTGGTTCTTGTGTGATAGTAAGTTACCACATTTCCATCACCATTTCTGTAACACCTGCACACTCTCCACGTACTTCACGAATCAAGACAGTTTTTCATTTGAAGAGGTAATTTCCTGATGAATAATTTCGAACATCATCAACAGAAGTGTCTCTTTTTATAATCTCGGTGTCAAAAAAATGAAGCGTCTTGTATCCAAATATATAAGTCATTCTAGGCTACTTATACTTTACGAAGAACAAATCCCATTTCGAATCATTTCAGTTTCATTTACAATTCAAACCAGTGTAGTGCGTTTGACTAAGACATCCCTCTCTGTAT